AAATATTAACTATCTTATATCAATTTGTAGCTCATGTTACGATCTACAACTTTACTTAGAACATCAACAAATATTTATTTGAGCTCGAACTGAACTTTTTGTCAGGTTCGAGTCAGGTTCAAAATTCAAACCGAACTCAAACCAGACTTTTAATTAGGTTCAAATTTTTGAACTGGACTTTTCGTTAGGTTTGAGTCTGGTTCAAGCTCGAACTGAACCAGACTCGAACTGAACCAGACTTTTTTTCAGAACCCTAACTGTACATGGTTGTGGGAATTGGATCACTTTGTCAACTATATTCAGGTCTGGCAATATTTCTTGTTTACTGACTACATGCCCAAAGAATGGCAACTCACTTCGAAAGAAGTTGCATTTTTCAGGATTTAATTTTAGGTTCGTTTCTCAGATCTTTTGGAATACTTTTTGTAGGTGTTCAAGGTGTTCCTTGAATGATTGGGAGTAGATGTTAATATCATTGATGTATATTGATGTATATTGATGCGAATTTATCTTTATATTCTATTAGTATAGTGTTCATAGCGCGTTGGAAAGTAACTGGAGCGTTACATAAGCCAAACGGTATTACATTGAACTCATACAGTTCTTCGCAGGAAATAAAAGCAATCTTCACCTTGCTATCCTCACTCATTGGTATTTGCCAGTATCCAGATGATAAGTCTATAGAGGAGAATCATTTGGCGTTTCCTAAGCTTTCCAGCATTTTGTCGATTTGTGATAACAGATAGGTGTCTTTCTGAGTGATTGCGTTTACCTTTCAGTAATTGATACAGAACCTTTTTTTTCAGTCTTTTTGGTGACTATCACAATGAGAGAAGCCCACGGACTTTGGAAAGATCTGATAATTCCAGCATTTAACATTCGGTGGATTTCTTTTTTGATAAATTCTTGGTCTGAAAGAGTGATTCGATACATCCGTTGTCGAATTAGCATTTCATTTATAGTATTGATCTGATGTTCATACTTTGTGATTTGTCCGAGCTGATGTATATCTGTGATAAATATATATTTATAGGCTTTTTTTAGATTGTTGTACTGGTGTTGTTGGTGGACATTCAAAAAATGTTGTTTTACCGTTAGATTTTTCTTCTCTGTGAAGTATGCTTCATGAATAATGTTATTCGTAGATCCAAAATCTTGAGTTTCTCTTGTACTTTCTTTCAATTGTTCACGATAACTTATTAACCATGTTCCTTCTATGTTTGCTAGTTGTAGGAAAACTACCTGTGCTATCTGATCTCTTAGTTGAATCGTATACAGTTTCTTTAATGTGTTCGTCAGTATAATTCCAATGTTGCCTGAATATCTGACGTCAATTGTTCCTTCTTTCACTTCAATTCCAATCTTGGCTAAAGAGGATCATGACATTAGTTGGCATACCGTTCCTTTTGGGATCTCCATCGCAATATGAGCATTGATTATGATCATTTGCCTCGGTAAGATAGTTGTTGGTCTGGCTCCAGGATAGTATAAGTCAAATCTGACGTCAGTTAAGTGTGCGCGTATTGGTTCTATTCCTTTATTATTATCATTATATACCTTGATAAAGTAATACATGAATTCAGCAGGTTCGACCATCCCTTTGTCTTTTGCTATTGGAAGATTTTTATAATAGTCCTCCAATATCTCCTCATAAAATTCGTAATTGTTACCAGTTTCTTCGTCGAATTTTATTTTTTGGACCTGTTTCTCAGTTTCGGCAAGAAAGTTGAAAATTTCTTCGAAAGTCTGGCTTATCTCAGTAAGCTTTATAATTGGTACTTCAACGAATCCTGGTATTGTTTGGGTGATGTGTTGAATCTGCGCAAATTGTTGTTGTTGATAACAATATCACGCATGGACTACCATTTCCTCAGCCTGTTTTAAAGTATTCTCAAGTAAGTTATTTTTAGTTTCGATTTCTTTTCTTTTACCTTTGTCTAATGGTATTAACATGTCTGCATCAGGGATCTGTTTTGATTGTTTGCAATCATCACAGTATTTCATATCACACAGTATTAAGCATTCAGCGCATAATTGAATATTAATATATTCGAGCTGGGCCAGTTATTTTTATCAAGCAGGGGATATTTGTTGGTAAATATCATGGAAGATGTCTGTTGCTGATGCTTCTTCGTTGTCATGATAGATAATGAACTCATCTATTTCTTCTAGATCGTCAGCGTACATGTATCAAGACAGAATCATCTTGCCAATTTTATTACATTCGGTGTACACATCTCGGAGCATTCCTCGATCTCTTAACTTCCGGATCATTCCTTGATTGCATTGTCATCCACCTTGATTAAACCAATAGATGCATTGATGTTTGTAGGTACAAAAATATCTTTTCTCGTAGCTGCCTGTGATATACATAGATCAGACCTTATCACGATAATTGCAGACGGCACACGTTGATAAGTTTAATTTCCTCTCAATATGATATTTATGACAGCATCATGTTTTCTCACTATGCTATGTAATATAATTTCTCCCATAATATTGATCTAAGTAACATCAATATTCGTTGCATTGTTCAATTTGTTCTTCAGGGTAGATATGTTATTTGGCCTCCAGAAGAGTGGTATAAGTCTTCTCCGTTTATTGAGCTACGAAGAGTTCTTGTTTCACCTTTTCGGCCCAATCTCTATTGGTCTTATATTCAGCTCAATATGATATATGTTGCTATATAGCGATCCAGTCAGCCAAATCATCATGATATTGATGACATTGATGATTGTTGGTGTAAAGATACTTCGCACACCAACATTGCTTATTAGGTCCTTTCCAATTAAGAGACCAATGTTGTTCAGGTAATTGTTCCAGTTGAAATTTGTTACTTAGTTATTGATAGTTATCCCACGTAAATTTCTTCCAGCGGATCTTCATTCCTTTTTGGAAAGCTTGAACATTGTGAATTGGTCGGATACTTCGGATAATGTTTAGAGGTATGCTTTTAAAGTTAATGTATTTTAGCTCTCTTCTGATAGTTTTAACTGGTGTCCAGGTCTCTATAGGAATATTCTTGGTGCTATTTTTGTTTTTGAACTGGACCATCTTTCACCTGAATTGGATGGTCGTCCAATCATCTTGTGTAAACTAAAGATGGCACGGCAACTGTTGCAACGTGGTGACAAATAAAGCATCACCTAGTTGCAACTAGTTGCGGCTTATAAAATTTTGGAGTTGCAACATGTTGCAACAGGTGACAAATAAGCATCACGTACTTGCTGCACCATCTCTAGTGTAAACATTAGGTAAGATTTTCTTTTCAAGTTTTGTTCCTCGTATTCCAATTCTTCATCTTCTGACTCATCTTCACCGGAATCTTCACTATCTTCAATTTCTTCATCATTACTGGTGGGATTTGCTCGCTGTTCATAGACATACTTAATTGACATTCTTCCTTGTTGTCCGTTCCATATGAATATCATCAGGTCATTCTTAATATCAATGTTCGTATTGACCTTCTTTAGAAAATCCATATCTACTATGATGACGTATGTCCTTGTCTCAGTTACGTCAACTATCATTGGAATTTCAATTCTGTCAATGATGATTGATAAGTTATCAATGGCTCCAAGTGATTGCTTCAATTTTTCATTTATAACGGTCATTGCCACATCTGATTTCCTTTGGATTTTAATGTCTTGGCTTTGTAGGAAGTATTGGGTCACCATGCAGCCAGATGCACCGGTATCAACTATTAGATCAATCATCATTTTTTCTATTCTTGCTTCATATCATGCTGATGTGGTTTGAACTTTCTGCAGTACATATCTGGTAGGTCATTTATTTATCTTTTTGATATTCATCCATCGCATCGTTTTGGACATCCTAATCCATTGGGCAGATGATGTTTTAATTAATTGTCTTATAGTAATGTTCACTTTTAATAGGACTAGGTCTTCAGCTATGTCGTATGGTGTTACTTTGGAGGCTAACTCTGGTAAAATCACCTTTTCCTTTTTCTTTTTTGGTTTCTTCTTTTCATTGACTACTTCCTGGATCTTTGTCAGTTCGGCTTCTTCCATGTCACTATCTTCAACCAATGACTTGTTTTCCTGGTTCAGTTCTTTTTCAAGATCTCCATCTTGCGAAGTGAATTGCTTTGCATAAGGATTATGACGATCAACTTTTCTTGGCTTCCCTTCACCAGGTAGATACTTGTGAGTTGCGAGTAGAGAATGAATATTGTTAATATTATCCTTGACTGTTTGTTCCTGTAAAATGTTTGTTAGATCCTGGATCTGCATTAGTAATACGATATTTGTATCACCATTGACCTGTTTATTATTTATTGATCAGTTTTTCATATTAGGTCGAGTGTTGTTTTGCGGGTGAAAATTTCCATTATTTCGATCTAGCCAATTTCTTTTGTTATTATTTCTATAGTTATTGTTAGAACGAGTTGTTGAGTATCATGTACTAATGTGTTCTTCTTCCCCACAACTATAACAGGTTAACGGCTGTCTATTATTTGATCAGTTACCGTGGAAATTGTTGTTTCTTGATGGATATGAAGGTTTAGAGGATGTTTTTAGTTGATCTAGTCTTTGAGTTAGGCTATTAATTAGGATGACTAGATCTGGACTTGTCGTGTGATTGGCACTAGTGAACTGATGGTAATTTCTTACGGTCAGTTCTGCCTCAGCTTTCTCAGCTTTCTTGGTGACTTCTATCATATTCAGTAATGTTTCGTTACCATTCATCTTCACCCATTTATGTAGCTCTGGTTTTAATCCTCGTCGATAGATGTGAATGCATAGATCATTGTGAATATAATTCTCTGAATCTGCTTTATGAAGCAGTTCATAAAATCGGTCAGTGTATTCATCCACCATTCCAACTTGTACCAGTTCTTTCAAGTCATCTTACCAACGATTAACCTTTTGCTCAGTTCAAAATTTAAGTGTGAACTGGTGTTTGAAGTCATGTTCGTCGTGAGCGTTATTTCGCCATTCATTTAGTAGCAACGTGTTATTCATTGCCTGTTCATCAAATCATAATGCAACCGGTCCTTCAAGATATCCTCGCATTATTTGTGCTTTCCATTTATCAGTGAGACTGTTTGTTGTTGCAGCTATTTCAAAGTCTCATAGTCAAGCTACCAGGTCTTGGTCTCCTTCTTTAAATTTTTGGATAGTGATAATCATTTTCTCCTGCACTCTTCCATTTTGTGCAGCTATTGCTTGGATCAAATTATTTACAGCGTTCAACACGTTGTTAATGTTAGCCATATCTTCAAATTCTTCGGGTTCTGGTATTGGAGTTCAGGTTTGATATTGCGATGATGAAATTCTTTGTTCTTCAAGAGGATTATTACCAACTAATTCTTTCTCATCTTTTTCAAAATGTCGTGTTTCTGAAAAATAGTCATCAGAATTATTATCAACCTCTTCGATCTTAATGTCCGGACTGGTGCGCTCGAAGTTCCGCATATCTCTAAATGCGTTTAGTATGTTAACGACCAGACGAGTTTGATCTTTGATAAAGAATGGTTCTTGGAAAAGTAGGATATTTAATAACTAAATTATGTTTTGACAAATCTGATTGGAATGTACTTCATCCCGATTGTGTGTTGCAAGCTTCTCAAAGAATTAATGAGTGAGCCCATTATAGCTAATAGTGCCATGGATTGCTATCCAGATTACAAATCTATAAAAAGTTCACAAATATCCTTTTGGTAGAGGATAACAATAACTACAGTAAGGTTGTTGTATTGTCAGTCTTCAATCTTGATTGTGTTATTCGAAGTGGCTGTTAATGAGAGTTTCAGTAAAGGTGTAGTACTCATTCATATAAGGAAGAATTAAAGAAATTAATTATGCAAAATGTAACAATTTCGTGAAGAATACTTTTAAAAAAAAGGAAACTTTAAAGAAAATTAATTCACAAAGGTATTTTAGTATTTTGGGAATTTTAATATCCACAGAGGGGACACCAAAATGTTACTGCTACTCTTTAATTATTGTAATTAAGAAATAGCGAATAGCACAAGTTGTTGAGCTAAGACTAAATAATTTACTTAAAGAGAGATTCTCTAAAGATTCTAAAGATCTCCTGTAGTGATTTTTACGAAAATCAACACTGATTAAAGAAGGGGATTTTGACAAAGGTATTGTTCTCGTTAATTCAAAAATTGTTGAAATTAATGAATTAACAAAGTAACATAACAGTGAAAGAACAAAGACT